AAAACATTATATAATCGAGTGACTTAATTGTCAATTTTTCAGATATGTGTGAAATTTTTGAGACAATTATATTTCTAATAGTAAAAGATAAGCATATTTGACCAGGATGTCAAATAAGGGGATCTCTTAAAACATCAGATTCTCTTCCAGTCTAGATTAACATTTTAGAAATGTGGTAAGTCTATATAAAATATAAACAATTAAATGAAACATCTGATGTGGTGAAAAACATAGTTCACATGGCTAAAAAGAGAAAGGGAGACTTACTGTAGGCATATAAAAAAATAGATGAATTTTTATAAGCATTTCAGAGTTTATAAAGGGTCTTTCACCAGTATTAGCTCATATTTTTCCACAATCACCCTATAAGGCAAGTATTTCCCCCATACCAATGAGGAAGCTAAGAGTTACAATACTGTTGAAGTCACAAACCTAACAAAAAACAGACTTTGATCCCAGGTAGCTGATAATCTGAAACATTCAGTCTATCTACATATTTTAACAAATATTCACCAGTGTTCTCCCATTTAGTGCCTTAGTTTTTCATTTGTAAAGATGCCAATCTTGAACACACTACGATAATGTACAATTACTGAGAATCTGTACACATAGTAGTCAGGCCACTTATCATTCAGTTATCTTGGAGATTGGTGACATTAAAAGTTAAATTCAGAAATTCTTTGCTTAAAAGAAAATCTCAGGTAGACAGATAAACAATTGTAACAGACAAAATTATAACTATGCAAACTGGTGGGAGGGGGACCAAAAATGTCTGAAGCTCAGAACTACAGTTTGAAAATCACTCATTTCATCCAAATCCCTCATTTTTCAGATGAGGAAACTGAAGTCTAGAGTGGTTTCTTGATCTGCCCAGGGACACATCACTATTTAGTGACACAGCTGGGACTAAAAGTGAGGTCTCCTGACTCTTGGTTCAGAGTTCTTTCTACTCCCACAAGGAATATGCAAATAAAAGTCGATCACAATTAACTCACAAGACCTCCACAATGTGTTTGTCATATGAACTTTGCTGTGAAATACCTGCTTAGGCCAACTCTCAATTTAGCAGTAAAGAGCTGGCCTCTGGAGTTCAAACACAGGCTCTAATGCTTACCATGTGACCTTGGGCAAGTCACATCACCTCCCAACTTCAGTTCCCTCATCTAGAAAATGGAAATTAAAAATACCCCTCTGATAGGTTCCATGAAGTAATGTATATAGAGCACCCAGGACAGTGCCTGGTACATAGAAAGCACTCAGTTCATGACGATGATGATGATGATGATGATGATGATGATAAAGAAAAAGGAGAATCGTCATCATCATCATCATTCAAGGAAAAGCACAGCTTCATGAAATCTTATCATGAAGTACAGCTAACTAACCCTTGAATGTTTCAATGCAATTTTCATGTTCATTACCTTATTTAATCTTCAATATCCAATAACTATCAGCCATATATTATCAATAATAGAGGCAGTAGTATAATGCAAAAAAACTGACAGATCAGTTCCAGAAAGTAAGAGCCTCACTGATACCACCTATTAAGTGGAAATGACATGTTTGGGTAAATAAATGAAATACAGCATTTAGCACAATAGATGGAACACATCAAGTGCCTATGAAAATGCTGGTTCTCCCGTAGCAGTAGTATGGAGTTCTTTTGTGTAGAGCACATACTGCAACCAGATCAGTAAAGCACCATTTCTGTGATGTACAGTATTATTTGTCAAAGAGAAAGATCTTGGGTAATGGTGCCTATTATATTCTACCTATGCTGTTTCACCAATTAAAATATGCAACAATTTTTGCAGATTTAGGGTCAGTCTTTACTGGGGGTATGTAGGTAAACAAATTGAGACAAAGCCAATTAAGTAATAAAATGTTTACAAAACAAAAAAACAAATTATGTAGACCTCATATCTGAAGCATCCAACAACCGTGTGGGGCAGTGTGATAAGGGTAGGTAATAATTCCATTTTACTGCTGAGGAAATTTAGGCTCAGACAGTTAAATATGTCAACTGAAATCACAAAAAGGGGAGAAGGGCTAAACCTAGGTTTCCCAAATTAGTTCTATGCATCTCAGAACATTAATATCTCTTCGAGATCCATTATTCAATTCATTAAATTTAAAGCTAAGGAAGCTAGTATTTATCAAGTACTTGCTTCCTATGTGCTTCCCTACATGCAGCACATCACATGAGTTAACCGCATTTAACTTTCATTTCAGCAGAGGGGAACAAAGTGTATTTGACTCAATAAAATATTTTATTCAGTACCATATAAATCCAACTAAAACAATAATGCATTTAGCTGAATTATTTTCTTTACTATTTAAGTGAACTATAAGTAAACTCCTTCTTTAACACTCTAATACATAATAAGCAGATTTCTGATTGACTTCATTATTCAACCTCACCATAAAATAAAACTATTATTTTCAACAAGAATACTCAATCTTCTGATTTGACTGACATGGCCTTTCTTTGCAGCCTCCTACACGAAAAGATCATTTTTTTAGAGAGAACCAAAAATTAAGATGCCCAAAATTTCTATCCAATTATCAGAGAAAAGCAAAATCTTTAATTAGTGGCTTAAATGGACAGGTTACTTGTTGGCCTTATTCCAGCTATCTCATATAGTATTTAAGCACATAAGTAATAACTTCATCAATACTTCAGAGCAAGCACATTTCTAGTATAAATTTCAACAAGCCAAAAAGTAAGGTGACCACATTATATTGTGTGGTACCAACTCTGACATTTTTGATGTGACAGCAGCTCTATTAGTAAATATGCTTGGGACAAACAGGCTCTACACCATGGCCCAGAAAAACTAGGGTATACAGTCACCCTACATAAAAGAAACCCATTTTGATTTGCATATCATGGGCTACTCTCTGTATATGCTTAATTCATGAGTTTTTAAGTTTTTGTTCCAAATGGAAATATTATCTTCAGCCTTGAGACCAAGGGCAACATTTTACAGACATCAGGCCAGAGTTAGGGCGTTATCTATGAAGTTTTTTTAAAGCTTTATTTTCAAACTCAACTTTATAAACATTTGCTTGAAAAAGAAAAAAACAGATCTATATGTTTCAAAGAAATTAATCTCACAAAATACCACCAAATCTGAGCTTCTCTCTTCAAAAATTTTGAATACTGATAACCACAAAACTAATTCTAAAATGGCCCCAATGCTCAAAGATTACTTCTATAACTTACCAAATTGCTTTATTATAACAAAAAGTTTTTTAAGAAGTACAGTCTTTCAAATAGAAAAAACTTCAGGAATAAAAGAGTTGAAAGCTTTCACTGAAAACTAACCAAAATGATAAAAGATAGTGGCAATCCATGGTCACAATACAGTACAATAATGATTAAAGGAAATTGCAGTTAGTATTGTTATGGTTCTCCAAATAAATCTGGCATTAGCTGTACAACCTAGGAATCAGAAGAATGTTTTGCTTTAATTTGTCACGCTATATAAATTATTATTAAACCACTCATGCTTTTAATAGTATTGGAATGAAAGGCATAATTTGAATATAGTTATGATTCCCTAAGGTAGTAAATTTTCCAATTTATTTAGTATTGGCTTCTCTGATTTACAACTCAACCGAATGAAGAATTGGAACCAAAGGTTCTGAGAGTCTAGGTTCTAGATCCATGCTGTCCAGTAAGATAGGCATTAAGCCACATAAAGCTATTTATATCTAAATTAATTAAAGTAAAAAAATTAAGTTCCTCAGTGCATTAGCAACATTTTAAGCGTTCAAGAGTCACGTATCCAGTGGATACCATATTAAGACAGCACAGATTACAGAATATTTCCATCATAGCAGAAAGTTCTACTGGACACTGCTGCTCTAGACACAGGCTGCTCTAAACTTTTGTTTGAATATTCCCACATACAAGACTTGATAGTACTATGAAATGCATTCTATTTTTGCAAAGTACCATCAGGAAACTGCTCCTCATTCTGTTAAATCCAGCCTCTCTGCAACATACACCAAAAATTCCAAGAGTTCCATCCTCAATCTGGTCTTCAAGTAAATCTTTGCAGAGCTGACCTAACTCCACTTCCAAAGTTCCACCCCTCACGTATACTGAGACGCTGAGTCCTCTCCTCCCAGATTAATATATGCTACCTTTTGAACATAATAGTTTAGTTTCCATCAGATTCATGGGATTATGCTAATCTATCCATGTTTACATTAATAATGTTTGTCCAGGATTATCTGAGTGTCAGATATTACTTTCCACTGTTCCTATAGAACCACTCTCATTTGTCAGAACTTCAAGTGTCTTTTTTGATTTTTAGTTTAGAAAACAAGGTCGCAGTCATTGTGAATTTCTTAAAACATGGAGCGCCAAATTAGTTACATGTAATTGATCAGTGCCTGCCGATATTCTAAGCATTTAACGTGTATTTTCTCATAATCCTCACAACTCTGAGCTAGGCTGACTATCCCCATTTTACAGACCGGGACAGCCAGCCAAAGACATGCTAAATAATTTTCCCAGGGATCGTACATGTGGGCTTAACCGACAGCATAGCTGGTCTTTTTTCTGGATGCTACACTTCTACAAATGCTAGCTAACTTTTCTTCCACCCTGCCCATGAAGCAAGTTTCCTTCTTTAAGTATTCCTTCTCCCAAGACACTGCCTAGACGACAGTCTTCACACACCCCAGCCACGCCGTCTCCGGCCGGCCCGCCCGGCTCCCCTCGTCCCACGCCCACCCCCGACGGGGAGGAGTCAAGAGCCAACTCCACACACCGCGGGAGAAGCAGGGCGCCGCGCCGGGCCAGCGCCTCACAGGCCGGCTGCCCTTCGGCCCTCCAGCGCAAACGCCAAGTACTCTCCCATGGCCGCCCTGGGCAGGGTCCGGGCCATGCGGCGGCCTGGAGACGCGCGATTCCGCGCGCGGCGTTCCGCCGGGTCCCGTTTCTCTCCCCCTTCCGCCCCCGCGCCGCCCCCCACTCCCCCTACAACCTCTGCTCTAAGAACACTTGTAGGCACGTCTGCGCGTCCCGCGTGGAGAATGTGGGGATAGAGATGGTGCGGTTTCTGCTGCTGCGGCCCGGGACACGCTTGGAAAGGGGCGGGGTGGAGGGCTGAGAGTGTAGAAAGGGAAAAGGTGGCTAGGCAGGGGCGCAAGATGGCGTGAGTCCGACTCTCTGTGGGGCGGGGGTGCGGAGACGGAGGCGAACGCGCGACACACGCCCCCACCGCGGGCGTGGGCACTGGCGCATGCGCGCTCGGCCAGGGCGAGCGGGGCCCTTTCCGGAGCAAGCCACTTCCGCCGCGCTCGCCGGGGGCGGGGCACCGAGTGCTCCTGGGCCCGCACGCCGGGGGCTGGCCACCCCACCCCCCACCCCCACACGGCGGGCCAACCCCACCCTGAGCCTCGCAGCGGGCATTGGAACGGGGCTTCCTGGAAGAGGAGTTGGGAAGAGCTGAGGTCTGGAGGGTGCTCAAAGGCTAAGCTTGGATGCTTTAAGAATGGAGGGGGAGGGCTAGGATTTTCGAGAATTTGGTGACCGATACTGGAAGTCTGTTTTCAGTTTAAGGGCAGAGACTGACCCATGTCATCTTTTCAGAGATTGGGGTGAACCGGGATCTTAGCCGGTCTGTTCTTGTAGAATGGTGAAGGGAAAACGGAGACATCAGAAAGCCCTCCTCCCCCAAAAGAGCGCAGTGCCTTCGTGAGCACACGGGAAATACCAGCTCTTCTCCGGCATCCTCAACCGCCGCTCCCCACCCTGCCCCTGCATAGTCACTGGAGACGCGGTGGGAGACGGTGGTCCGAAATGAATTCTTCCCCCCGACCCATTTTACCAAGCTCGGGCAAATTTTAACTACCACCTTTTTGTTACTGAAACCTTTTTCTATTTCAGGGTTTTCTGTGCAAGATCTGTATTTTTTCTTAGAATTTTGGCCTATTCCTCCTTATTTTAATAAAATCTTGGACCCCCAGTATTGAACTGTACATCCAGTCCTCGCACATGTGATTGAAACATGTAGTTCTTTAAATACAGTTTTAAGACTGATTTCAATTGCTTTCAATTTTTATATTACATGAAGTCTTGTTTATATCTTTACCATTCTCAGCTGCTTAGGAGGAAAATTGATTACCCATGCTTAGATCCACTCCTACGATGTCAAATATGAAGTATTTCATAATTATGTAACTGCTAACCTTCGTCAGATCTTTTTAAGCATTAATGCTTGTTATTTTTTTGCCTAGTAATATTTGTGTTCTGAAATAATCCCTTCCTTCCCCCTATTTGCTTATATTGTTTAAAATAGCAATTTATTTGTTTTTTTTCCTCTGTGGATTATATTTGAGTCTTCTGTTAATTTTGTGTTCTCTTTAATCTCAACAGTTAAATATTTGCCAAATACTTAAAGTTCAAAAAGAATAAATATATTTAAGATATAAAAGCTCACCATGATGACTAAATCAGGGCTCAATTCAGTGCTGAGCAAAGTGAGTATAAGAGAAAGTCATTGAGAAAGAATTGTCAATTTCTTACAAGGGAAGACTGGTATACACAATAGTTGAAAAGCCCTTTCAAACGTATTACCAAGAAAATAGAAAATTAATATTACATCTTTGGAAGTATAACTCAAAGCAGATTGTTTCAATTAAAATGATGTTTAATTAATGTTGCTATAGTAGTACTTGCCCAGGAATTGTACCTGCATCACATGGAGGCCAGATTTGGCCTAGTTTTGCAGAATAGAACCCAGATCTTCTTAGTCTCAGGCTACCCGTGTCTAACCAACATATAATCACAAATAACAGAAGTTAAGAAAATGAGCAATGAAAAAACAAACAAAAAAAAGAAAAAGAAAATGAGCAATGGAGAAAGGAAACTGAGTTAAACCAGGTACTGGTAGAGAGAGGGCTCAAGAATTCACTCTTCAGAATTTGTGAATTGTGCTGTTGGCAGAGAGCTTTGAAGTCTTATTAGTAATCGTAGTGTTCCTACATCCTGGTATCTGTTAAAGTCCATTTTTAAAGATTTTATTTAGCCATAATTTCATTGTAGTTTAAGAGCACTGTTATATACACAAAGGGAAAATAGTTTCTATTTGATGAATGTCAAGCATCCTAAATGACCAATGCTACTAAGATATCTTAATTGTAACAAGCTAAAAGAATGAAACTGTTGCTACAACTAAGACATTGATGACTACCACCTCTCAGAAAAATACGTGATTTCCAAAGCATGTGGATAAAACACGCCGGGAGACCAAGTCATTTTATCACACCACAAAAATGTCTCCATCCCTTGAACAAGGCTGTTAAAAGAAAATGAAGCATTGTTACCATAAACTTTCGCATTCCTCTGGCATAGTAACAGTTATATGTACTCACTAGTGCAAAGAGAAAGTGCACATATCTGAGTAAAAAAGCCTATTGACATCTTTAAAAAATGACTAGATTGGGTAATAAAAAAAGCTCCAATTTTCCAAAGGATAGCAGAAGCCATGCCTAATAGAGGACCATCTCTGTGAAAGTGGTTTCCTCTCCTCATGGGGTGACCTGCAAATTCTTACTCTTTTATGATCCATGACTCTTATTTAGTAGGATGCATATGGAGGCTTTTTCTTTTCTTATTTAGCAATTATTTTATCCTTTGCTATATTTTCTTTAGATTTCTAATGCTTATATAGTCACCATGGAAATAAACTGGGTAGAACTGCATATTGTTTAGAATTCTATATTGCAATTGTCGCTCTGTTCAATTAATTCCCTGGTACTATTTTTCAGTTGCAATCCTAAAGGACCTTGCTTTATTGCTTTATTCTTAGAACAAGTTGTTCTAACTGAAAACATTACTCAGCTCCGTGGTACCTGGCAAGTCATTAAACATCATTGGGCACAGTTTTCATATCTGTAGAATGAGATGATGCAACCAAATTAACTAAAACTTTGCAGCCCTAAAATTCTATGCACCTTTAAAATAGGAATGACCAAAGGATGGATCTTAAACTTGAACAGAATAATCTCAGCATTCATACTTGTGCTACCAAAAATTACACGAATATTTAAGGCTCTTGCTTTAGGCACAGTTGGATGTTCAGCTGACATGATGCATTGCAAAAGAAAGACCAAAGTGAAAAAATACATACTAATCAAATCTATTGACACATGGGAGGGGAGTACATCATGTAATTATTCAAGGTGTAATCAAACTGGCTTCCCATTCCTTCTGAGTACATTCATATATGTCAAAGTAGGAAAAGCAGCACAGCGATGAAAGAAAAATTTTAAAAATTGCAGAACTGATCAGCTCATAGAACTGTAATCATGATCTATCCTCTTAGGAAACTCTCATTATAGGTTTCACACTCCAGGATCTTTTAAAGTTAGTGATTGACTGCTGAGAAAATGATCAGGTTTTGAGACTTAGAATGTGAAAAGAATAATAGAATATCAGGATTTCAAAGGGCCCTGAACTCTCTAGACACATGGAAACTTAGTTGCTCTCATTCCCAAGAAGTCCCATATGTAATACCTCCTGTACTGGAAACAAACAACTTTTACGTTTACCCTGGAGATAAGGTCTATTGGCTCCGTGTGAGTGATAGATGCTAATCATTTCATTCATTCAACAAATATTTATTGTAGGCCTATCATGTGCCTGACATTATTCTAGAAGCTGCAGATATAGCAGTGAACAAAACATGAAAATCCATGCCATCACCAAACTCACATTCTAGAAGGAGGAGTTGGACAATACACAAAATGAATACCCAAATTACGTAATATGTTAGAAGGCCATGAGTATTACTGGGGGAGAAGGGGAGTTTTATATAACAGGGAAGGGATATGGAATGAGATGAAGCACAGGAGGAAGGGGAGAATTGTAATTTTTTAAATTAAGCAAGCAGGGTAGGTCTTACTGAGAAAGTGACATTGGAATGACTTGAAGAAGGTGAAGGAGACAGATTCAGATATCTAAAAAAGTAGCATTCCAGACAATGAGAACAACCTGTGCCAAGGCCCTGACATAGGAACAGGCCCAGAAAGTGGTAGGAATGGCCAGGAAGGCCAGTTTAGTGGAAGAACAGTGACCCAGAGAGAAAATAGGGTGATATGAGGTCTCAGAGGTATGAGGACAGATGGCAGAAAGCCTGTGTGCTTGGACTGCAAGACTATTAGCAGAAGATTCACATGATATGATTCTGGCTTTAAAACTTTACCCTGGCTGCTGGGTTGAAAATAAGTCTGTAGAGTAACAGGTCTGGTTGCAGTAACCCCATCAAGAAGTGATGATGACCTGCGTTAGGGTTGTTATAGTAGACACTGTAAAACATGGTGGATTCTAATATATTTGGAAAATCAATCTAATTTACTGACAGATTGGATTTGGGATTCTAGAAAAAGAGAGGAATCAAGGATGATTCTAAAGTGTTCTGAGAAACTGGAAAAATAAATTTGCCACTAACTGAGCTGGAAGACCAGGGATGGAGTGTGTGGGGTAGGTGTGAGAGACAAGAGCTCAGTTTTAGGCATAAATAAGTAATTAAGTACAGTGTTTGCATTATCTTTAATGTGTTGACATCGTAAGTGAGCTTTTGTGGAAATGGAGGGAAGTTTATACCTTTTTATAATAATTTTTCATTAATTTCTAATCCTGATCCTACAATAGATTACCATCCAGACCTCTCTAACATATGTCAAGGAATAAGTATTTTACTTTTGTTCTAAGAAGATGTGAAGGAAGCTAAAGATCCCTTTGTTCAAAAAAAAAATAAGATCCAGCAATTCCACTTCTGGGAATCCACCTGGAAAAAATGAAATCATTAACTTGAACAGATATATGCATCTGTACGTTTATTGCAGCATTATTTAGAATAGTCATGATATGGAAGTAACCAAGTGTCCACCAATAGATGAATGGATAAAAAAAGTGTGCATATATACAATGGAATATTATTCAGCCAAAAAAAAAAAAAGAAAGCAATCCTGCCATTTGCAACAACAGAGATGGACCTAGACGGTGTTACACTAAGTGAAATAAGTCAGTCAGAGGAATATCATACGGTTTCACTTATATGTGGAATCTGAAAGATAAAACAAAGGAATAAACAAAACAGAAATAGACAAATAAACAAGAGAATGGACTGTTCGTTGCCATGGGGCAGGGGTGGGGGTTGCAATAGTTGAAGGGGATAAAAATT